AAATAAATTTATTTTTTTTTATTTTATATGGATCTCCACGGTTCCCCACGGAGTGGAGAAAATTCCCCACGAAATTTCACGGGTAAAAAATTACCTCCATCCCCACCCCACGGATAAGAATATTCTGAGAATCTCCATCCCCACGGCGGGTATCTCCGTGAAGCTCCGCGGGTCGCGGATAAAATTGCCACCCTTAGTTTCGAATCCATTCCATGATAAAAAGTTAAAAAAAAAAAAAAATTATAAAATTTGCACTTGACACTTTAGGTCAATTTATCTTTAATCACCTTGAAGTGTGTTTTTTTTTAATAGGTTTTAACTTATCTCATGATAATAGTGTTCAAAAAAAAAAAAAAAGATTATAGAATTCAAAATAGCTCTTTTCTTTTATGTCAACTTGCGTGTGCTTAAGATTTTAAGAAAAAGAATTTTTTTACAAGAAGAAATTAAATTTTATCAATAGTTAAATTTAATAGAGTCTATTATTTTATAATTAAATTATTTTAAATTTTAAAATAAAAATTAAAAAAAGACTCGTAATAGTAAAGATCTTTTTTATTTAAAAATTAATATTTTATTATTTTAAAAATTTTAAATTATAAAATATTTTTTTAAATTTAATATATAAGATAATACTTGTTTAATAATAAAATTAACCCCATAATATTATCGAGAAAAATTCCAAAAAAAAAAATATAGTATCGAGAAAGAAATCTTTTGCTAGTCCACACAAAATTTTAGTCATTATTATTTTCAAAAAAATTAGATCTGCTTGGCCGATCTCTCTCTTTCGCATCGTTGGCCATTCCAGACGTTCATATGATTACCTTCAAAGACTTCATGAACTGTTTCCCAATTACTAGATTAGAAAAGTCTCTTTTTTGGCTTTTGTGCCATATGCCACTTCCAAACTGCCTACATATACCATCGATCCTTTCCTCCTTGACCACCCAACTTCATTGTTACCAGGAATTAAGGGCAACACAACAAACAATGGAGATTTACTCTCTCTTCTTTAGCCTTACCTTGACCATCCTCTTTGCAGGTACATTTAAAGTTTATTTTTGTTTATTTTATTTTTTATTACATTCATTTATCCATATAATTGTCTAAACTTTTTTGTATAATAGTTTAGATTGCATTGTTTTACAAGAAAACAATTATTGATGAGGGGATGACCATGATTATCTTTAAGAAATTTCTCTCTATACATGATTAATTTTGTACAATCTCATTAAATTTAAATTACACAATTTTTTTAAAAGGATAATTGATGCTCTTTTAAGGCATTCTTAAACGGGATATTTAAAACATTTACTATAGTAATTATTGATATTTTTTTTTCTAACTTTTTGTATTGCATTATTTATTTTTTTTATTTTAATTGTATAATAAAAAATAATTATCTGTTATCCCTTATTTTACTCCATTCACATATCATGTGATTCGAGATCAAAATTTCTCATTTTTACCGAAAAGAGATAATTATTAAATTATTTAAGTTATTGGTTATACTGCATTAATTTAGTATATATGTATTTTCCCTCTATGCAGGAATTCATTCTGCAACTCTCACGGTCAAGAACAACTGTCAGGACACAATCTGGCCAGCAACCTTAACTGGTGGTACTGATGCAGCACAGTTATCAAACACTGGCTTCGAGTTGGCCTCTCAAGCATCTTTCTCCCTTGACGTTCCTGCTTCATGGACGGGCCGAATCTGGGCTAGAACACAATGCTCATCAGACCATTCAGGAAGATTCACCTGTGCCACAGCTGACTGTGGCTCTGGTCAGGTCACTTGCAACGGCATGGGAGGAGCCCCACCTGCATCCCTCTCAGAATTCACACTAGCATCAGAAGGGGGGCAAGATTATTATGACCTCAGCCTCGTGGACGGCTTTAACCTACCTGTCTCAATAACTCCACAAGGCGGCTCTGGTCCTACATGCACCACCACCGGTTGTGCGGCTAACGTGAATGCTGTATGTCCATCTGAGCTGGCTCTTACAGGGTCTGATGAGAGCATCATCGGTTGCAAGAGTGCTTGTGTGGTCTTCAATCAGCCGCAGTACTGTTGCACCGGTGAATATAACTCAGCAGACACTTGCAAGCCCACAAACTATTCGATGATTTTTAAGAACCAGTGTCCTCAGGCTTATAGCTACGCTTATGATGATGGATCAAGCACCTTCTCATGCACTGGTGGACCTAATTACCTTATTACTTTCTGCCCATGAGAGTTCTATGTAATACAGGGATCAGGATATTTAATAGTATCGTTGCTTTAAAATAAATAAGATTGATATCACTTTGGTGTCAAGAAATTAATTATAATGAAAATGATAATGAATAGAACAATATTTTTATAATAAAGTTTTATATCGTTGGTTCTAATTTTCAAGTCTTGAATTTAACTTGCATAATATAGGTGGCAACTACTTTTATTTTTTTACTCACATTAATCACATATCCAATGGTTTAAATTAAATTTTTTTTGAATATATTTAATTTGAGAAAAATGACAAAGCAAATCGGCTAAGGAGGGGGTTTTTAGCCCATCTCCGTTTCCTTGAAAGTTGAAACCCATAATTACCTTTATAAAACTAGTAAAAATTACACAATCAATGTTATAGCCCAAATTTAAGAAAATTCTAAGAGCATGTATATTAATTGGCAAAGCTTTCTTTATTCTTTAATATTTTGTTAACAGCACATTATCACAATTAAAATTATTATATATATATATATATATTATCTTGATTACACAATTGGAGAGAATCATCTTCCCTCTTTTATCCCATCTCATCCGCATATCATACAACTCGAATTCAAGATCTCTTATTTTTGGTAGAAGGAGATGACCACTGAATTACTTAAGTTATTAATTATATATTTATATTTTTAAATATTTAACTTTTAAATACAATATATTTTCTCTAACAGATATTTAAAATAAAACTTCTTTAAAAATTACATTAATATTATTTTATTCAATTGAGTCGAGAATAAGTTGCCAAAAAAATTGGTCCATGTGATCCGCTTGTCATGATGTAGTCAAATCTTCATTTTGGCCCCTTTTTAGGGCAAAAAAGACAATATATATATATATATATATATATTGATCAATAGAGACGACCTCCGAAAGACAACATGCCTTCAATGGGTAAAAGTTGTCTTTTTTTTTTTTTTTTTTT